TGATTGGGCATTATCTTAAGCTTGGAGGTTTGAGGTCTATTGAAAGCCAAATAAGGTCAGCAGGTGCAGACCCTGTAGCAACTGTGACCTGTCCCAATGACCTGGAAGCACAGTTAAAACTGAACTACATGCTAAAGACAGCACTACACACCAGTGTGGAAGAGACCGATTATTCAGTTCATGTGTTGGGTGGGACATGCGGCTAAAACCCTAGAAAATGGAGTTGGGTCCCTACACGTTGCTCTTTACCTCCAAATGAATTCTTGTTGGATCAAATCCTTAAATGTGAGAAGTAAAATTTAACATAATGATTACAAAGTGGGATTTTTTTAATCAAAAATGCATACATGAAAATGTTAAATGAAAAAAGCAGGATATATAATTTATGTCCAATATGAGCACAACCATGATAAATGTGTGTGTGTGTGTGTGTGTGTGTGTGTGTGTGTGTGTGTGTAACTAAATGGAAAGACACAGGTTAAAATGTTAACAGTGAGGGTATTTGGATGGTCAGATTATAGGTGGTTTTTATGTATATGCTCTCTTATAACCTGCTGGTTAGTCTGGACCAAAACCCAGCTCCACCATTTACTTTGTGTGCAATCATGGGTAAGTCATTCAGCTTCTCTGTGTCCCAGTCTCTTCATCTGTAAAAGAGGAATAGCCCCTACGTGATCAGTTAAGTACTAACATAGTACAGTATCTGGGCATGCTATTATTGTTGTATTGGTTATTAGTGTTCTCTGTTTTTTAAATTCCTCTATAATGCACTTATAGAACTTCCGTAATGGGAAACTTTTTAAGTCTCTCTTCATTAAAAGAAGTGCCTCATGTCCTAAGTTAGTGATATGTGTCACCTTAAATGAAAACACTGACAAGGAGCAGCTAACCCATCTTGACAAAACACAGAGAAACGTCCGAGAAGGATCGCTCCGAGAAGAGGATGTCTGAGCTGACTTTTGAAGGATAAGGATCACAGAAGGCAGGCAAGAGGGAATTCGAGACAAATGAATCATCAAGGAAAGACTTGGAATCTTAGTAATTTCAAGGCAGAAGCCGACTTGAAGATCATGCAGGTTTCCCTCTGCCCTACAAATTCTTAAACGTGTTCCCATTCGACTTCGGGACAGTTCTCTTTGCTAGAAGGGGTCTCCACGTATGGATACCCACCTACCATTGCCCTCGCAAAAGAAAAAAAAATCCAAGAGAAAAATCCAAGCAACATGTCCACACCGACATATTCATTTGGGTGTAAGAGACAATTAAGCGTGGTCCATCCGGGCAATGCTCCCCGATCAACTCCATGGATGTGGTGTTTGTGCTTGGCTTTGAGAGGCCTCTCAAACATTACTAACTCTCCTGTTTTTCAGTACAAAAGCTGGGACAGGATTGAAATCTTAGGTGAGCAGTAGCATGTGACTGCAATGGAAACAGAGGCAATGAGAAATATGAAAATAGTGATACTCTTTTATAATAGTATGATTGCATCTACATAGTAAAGGTACTTGTTGATAGTACTTGGAGCAACAGAAAGAAGAGATGAAATTGGAGAAAAGTTCAGTGTGTGGCTGGAGAAGCAACATTAACATTGTATGCCAACAGGAGAACACGAGAAGTGCATTTAGGAACTTAAAGGCTAGACCTGATTGGGCATTATCTTAAGCTTGGAGGTTTGAGATTTATTGAAAGCAGGTGCAGACCCTGTAGCAACTGTGACCTGTCCCAATGACCCGGAAGCACAGTTAAAAGTGAATTACATGATAAAGACAGCACTACACACCAGTGGGGAAGAGACCGATTATTCAGTTCATGTGTTGGGTGGGACATGCGGCTAAAACCCTAGAAAACGGAGTTGGGTCCCTACACGTCGCTCTTTACCTCCAAATGAATTCTTGTTGGATCAAACCCTTAAATGTGAGAAGTGAAACTGTAAGAAAATTCTTTGCAATTACAGAGCAGTGAAGATTTTCCCAATACGCCACCACCCTGAGAAGTCTTCGAATAAAAAATTTACATGGGGAAAAAAACTCACCGAAGGATCAAGTCAGACAAAAAAATTGCAATCCATACCCCGAAGTGTTTATTCCCAAGATATAGATAGCTCTCCTACAAATCGATAAAATACCAACCTATCGATGCAAAGCAGAAAAAGAAATAGAATGACATGAAGAGACGCTGAGCTGCATTCATAGGAAGAGAAATACAAATTAAAATTATCGCACGTGTCATTTTTCACCTATCAAGTGGGCGCAGCTCAGCAAGTGTGATGGTGAGTTACACATTAGTAAAATTTTTATGAGGGAAATTGGCATCATTGATCAAAATTGCAAACGTGCAGTCTTTGACCTAACAATGTATCCTTCATATACCTTTTTAAAAAACTTTTTTTTAAAAAGGTTGTATTTATTTATTTGAGAGAGAGAGAGAGCGCAAGTGCAAGCAGGGTGAGCGGTAGGTGGAGGGAGAAGCAGACTCCCCGGTGAGCAAGGAGCCTGATGTGGGACTCGATCCCAGGACCCTGGGATCATGACCTGAGCTGAAGGCAGCCACTTAACCAGCTGAGCAACCAGGCGCCCCCAAAGAACTTCTTATTATGAAGAAATTCAAACCCCTATGAAAGCAGAATAGCATAATGATCCCCTAGGCCTCCATCACTCAGTGTCAACAGGTACTGACTCATGACCAGGCTTATTCCCATGCTATGGCCACCCCCTTTTTCTCTCCCCCATATTTTCTTGAAGCAAAGCTCAGGTATCATATCATTCCATCCATAAATACGTCATTATGTGTCTCTAAAAGATACACAGCCTTTAACATTACAAGACCATTATCACAACTAAGAGTTCTTAAATACCATCGAATTTCCAACTCTCAAAAATGTTTTAGGCTTTTTGCCTGAATCAGGATTCCAAATGAGGCCCACACATTCCTATCAGACAGAACATTATTTTAAGTAACAGCAATCATTCATGTGTAAGATGCTATCATTTTCATTCTCTTCCCAAGGTATCTGTCCAATTTGTTCTGTCCTCTCTGGTCAGGTTTCTTGGCAGTCCTTCCTCCATCTTGAACATGTGTAAAGTAATGTATACACAGGTTATTTGTTACACCATTGTTTACAAGAGCCAAGGTATAAAACAACCTGAATGTTTATCCCTGTCAGACTACTATGGGGCTACTTTCAAAATCAGGTGGACATTTATGTTCAGATGTGAAAACACCTCTAAGACACATGGTTAATTGGAAAAAGCAATATGGATAGTGTACTATGATTTGTGTTAATAATTGAGAGCTATTCAGATGACGGATGGAGACAGGTTTTTGCTTCTATGTGTTTAGGATATTTCTGGAAGAACCACCAAAAAGTATTCTGGAACAACAGTGGTTGCTTCCTCAAAGGCACACCTGATAACTGCAAGTTCGATTTGGGAGAGAGAGAGAAACTGTCTTTGGGATACCTGGTGGCTCCGTCAGTTAAGTGTCTGCCTTCGGCTCAGGTCATGATCTCAGGGTCCTGGGATCGAGCTCCACATTGGGCTCCCTGCTCAGCGGAGAGTCTGTTTCTCCCTCTACCCCTCTCCCTGCTCATGCTCTTGCTCTCACGCTCACTCTTAAATAAATAAATATCTTATAAAAAAAGAAAAAAAAAGAAACTGTCTTCTCTAATGCATCTTTGCACCTTTTGAATTTTTTGCCATCAACACTTATTAGCTATTCTAAATAAACTGAATTTACTTTTTTTAAGATTTTATTTACTTGAGAGAGAAAGAGAATGAGAGAGAGAGAGCACGAGAGGGAAGAGGGTCAGAGGGAGAAGCAGACTCCCTGCTGAGCAGGGAGCCCGATGCGGGACTCGATCCCGGGACTCCGGGATCATGACCTGAGCCGAAGGCAGTCGCTTAACCAACTGAGCCACCCAGGCGCCCTAAGTAAATTGAATTTAAAAATCTATTCTCTGCTCAGAACAAATCCCTTCCTCTTCTGTGCTACCTTGTATTTTTTACTCACTCTCCTGCTATGTTTACCTAACTCCATCACCCACAAAAGCCCTAGCAACTGTGTCCCCATAGAGCTCCCATCCCCAGCATCTAGCATGCTGCTTTCCACATGGAGAGAGACTCAAAAAAAAAAAAAAAATTAAAGTGATGTCTTGAAGAATGATAAAGACATTTTCCTGGGAATAAAGTCTGGCCACCTTTACCTATGGCCCTAATAGAGCACCGAAGCAGGGCTGCAAGAACATGTACCCACTAGTTCTGGGATTCTATCTGGAAGTCCGCTCTCCTCATTCCAAGGAGGGAAGGAAAAGAGAGGCAGAGAAACAGAGACAAGGGGGGGATGGAGGCTGGGACGGAGATCAGACTGGACTCTACGGAAGAGCGGCTAAGCAGAATCCATTTGGGGAAAGGAATGATCATGTGAAAGAACGGGAAGGGGATGTGAAGTCTTAGGTGATCTCAACAGGGGCTACGCTAAGAGGAAAACAGGCTTGTGATGACGTCCGCTTTAAGCATTCTAGTGCCCTGTCTGTCCTTTGTTCTTCCAGAGGCTGCAACTTCAATGGTGAGGCCAGGACACAGGCAGCCGGATTTCTAGAGCTAATTCGGTGGATTTCACCCCAGCACAAGCACACTGAGCACCTCCTAAGGACAGGCCTAAGGGTTGGCGACATTTTTATTAGCAACAATCCCTGCCCCCTACCGATTATCTACAGACTTAAGATCACGTAATCAACCCCGACGTCCGAGAGTGCCCGGCGAACGGGAGGAAACTAGCTAAGAGGCTCTAAATCCCTCCTAACACTTGAGCCTTCCCTATCAGCAAGATTAGAGCCGTCCACAGCCATCTGCTGAGTTCAGCCTCTGACCGACCATCGTCCCGGGCAGGCTGCTCCAAGTCGGCGCAGGGTACAGGCTCCGTCCTCCCGGTGGTGGCAGGGGCCAGCCCCGAGACCCCACGACAGCCAGGAAGGCCAAGCAAGGGGCTCGCCTCGCGCAGCCATGCTCAAGCAGAGCGACAGGCGGCGGTCCTGGGGCTGCAGGCCGTGGAATAGTACCGAGAGCGAGGGCGCGTCCCAGGCGGGGGACGGCCAGCACCGCGGGAGCGTCTGCTCGGTGGGGGCCCGCTCCGGCTCCCAGGCCAGCATCCCGCGGTGGCCCGAGGGCTACTATAACTACTACATCGAGGAGGACGTGGACGGGGAGAGCGACGACGACCTGAAGGACGACCCAGGCGAGGAGGCCCAGCCGCCAGAGGCCAAGACCGACCTTCCCGCCGCGTCGGCCACGCTAAACGTGAACGTGGGCGGCCAGAGCTACCGCCTGGCCTACTGGCAGCTGGCCTGTTACCCCAAGACGCGCCTGGGCCGCCTGGCCACGTCCACCAGCCGCAGCCGCCAGCTGGGCCTGTGTGACGACTACGAGGAGCAGACGGACGAGTACTTTTTCGACCGCGACCCGGCCGTCTTCCAGCTGGTCTCCAACTTCTACGCATCCGGGGTGCTGCTGGTGCTGGACGAGCTGTGCCCGCGCCGCTTCCTGGAGGAGCTGGGCTACTGGGGCGTGCGGCTCCAGTACACGCCGCGCTGCTGTCGCATCTGCTTCGAGGAGCGGCGCGACGAGCTCAGCGACCAGCTCAAGATCCAGCGCGAGCTGCGCGCACAGGCGCAGGCCGAAGAGGCCGAGGAGCTCTTCCGCGACATGCGCTTCTACGCGCCGCAGCGCCGCCGCCTCTGGAACCTCATGGAGAAGCCCTTCTCGTCCGTGGCCGCCAAGGCCATCGGGGTGGCCTCCAGCCTCTTCGTGCTCATCTCCGTCGTGGCGCTGGCGCTCAACACGGTGGAGGAGATGCAGCAGCAGGCGGGGCAAGGCGCGGGCGGCGGCGACCCGCCGCCCATCCTGGAGCACGTGGAGATGCTGTGCATCGCCTTCTTCACGCTCGAGTTCCTGCTGCGCCTCGCCTCCACGCCCGACCTGCGGCGCTTCGCGCGCAGCGCCCTCAACATGGTCGACCTGGTGGCCATCCTGCCGCTCTACCTGCAACTGCTGCTCGAGTGCTTCACGGGCGAGGACCCGCGGCACAGCAACGGCTCGCCGCGGGAGCACGACATAGAGACTGTGGGCCGCGTGGGCAAGGTGGGCCAGGTGCTGCGCATCATGCGCCTCATGCGCGTCCTGCGCATCCTCAAGCTGGCGCGCCACTCCACCGGCCTGCGCGCCTTCGGCTTCACGCTGCGCCAGTGCTACCAGCAGGTGGGCTGCCTGATGCTCTTCATCACCATGGGCATCTTCACCTTCTCTGCGGCCGTCTACTCCGTGGAGCACGACATGCCCAACACCAACTTCACCAGCATCCCCCACGCCTGGTGGTGGGCCGCGGTGAGTACCAGGGCCTCTGGCTTCCCGGCCCTTATCCCCAGCCTGGAAGAAGCCAGGCCTCCCTTCCCGGGGTCATCAGCCATCTCTGCCTTGCTTTGTTCCCCGACCTTTTCCCTGCCTCGCTTAGGGGCCCACTGCTTTTCTCCAGGCCTTTGCTGCCCGCAGCGAACAAAAACAAGTTGGAAAGACAAAGTTCCATAAGTAACTGAATTCGACTTGGGCCTAGAAATTTCCAGATCTAGATTTAGTCTTAAATCCCTCAGCAGGCTGATTTTAAGAAGGATTCCTTGTTTGTATATGTGGGAAGATCCATCACCCTCATTCTTATTCGCCACTTATGGAATACCTGTTGTCCTAAATGGTTTGTAGATGTTCTCTTATTTCAGTATCACACCCTGTGAAACGGTTAGGATCTTTTTTTTTTTAAGAGGACAAATTGGAAGTAGCTTCAGATTTGAAGGAAACTAAGTTTATGCAGGGAAAAGGTGAGACTCGGCTGACCAGTGTCCACCCTACCTGAAATTCCACTGCTCCTAGCCAATCGTGACTGTGGAAAGAAGCATCTACAACTGAAACTTGCTCCACTGTCACTGAAGTTCCTTTGGGACCTGGTATTCTTGCCTGGAGGAATTGAGGTGCAGAGGGTTTGAGTGTAGACACCCAGCTAAAGGTAGTGGAGTGAGGACCCAAACCTAAGACCATCCAAGGCAAAAAATCCATGCCCTTTGTACACCCAGCGCTGCCTCTTTCAAGCTTCACTTCTGGGGTGTGCCTTGCCTAATTTGCAGGCTTTTGGTCAATTTTTGTTGTTTTCTTTGGCATTTGCCTCTTTGTAGTAATTTATGCCGTTTACTCAAATACCCGTATTTCTGGCACGCTGTGCAAAATCCCTGGGAAATCCCGGAATCGCTGGATATGCTGATGGATAAGTGGACATTTATACATAGAGGGAAGAAGTGGGTGTGTGATTTCTCTATTTTTAAAACTAGATGGTTTGCAATGCTGTTAAAAACATTAAGCAAATATAACCGGTTTTTCCCATGTAAGGAACTAGTTATTTTCAGCATTAACACTGGGTGTGTTAGAACCTAGAATCTGGTCTAGATTTCTGAGATGAACCAACCCAGGGTTACTAACAATGTAGTTCAGCGAGATGGAAGATTTACTTTTAGATTCTAGTCCCAGATCTAATAATTGTGACCCTAAATAATTGTAAAACCTCGCTCCCTTACTCCCTGTCCTCAGTTTTCTTGTCTCTAAAAAAGGGTGGCTACAGAGCTCTATAATTCAGTTAGTCTTCTGTCACTGAAAAGCAGAGCACTCATATGTCAAACAGGATTTGTGAGCTTTCTTCAGTGATGGGAGGACATTAGGCTCTTCCCAATGAGCTAGCCCACTGCCACACCTCTGATCATATTCCAGGTGACAAAAGGTCATCCCCATAGTAGATAAACCATATGTACAGGTGGAGCTGAAAGAAGATGCTTTGTCCCCAGCAAATGACATCTACTTTGGAGGTGAGTAAAGCAGGAAGGGAGAAGAGAAAATCTACACGCTGGTGATATACTGCCAAGTTTGAGAGTCAAGTTTCCTTTCATCCAAGTATCTTAGAAGACCAGCATGTATGTAGGTGGGGCCTAGGGGACATTTTGATACTATATTTTCAACCCACAAAACTTTAAAATTTTGTATATTAATACAAAAATTGGTAAGAATTATGTTGCTAATGATGTTTCTTTTTTAAAAATTTCCTGAAGGGAATGCCTATTAATTCCATTTAATTACTTGATCTGTTTAATGTATGATGACACTCAAAGCTTTCAAATTACCCCCTTTTTATGTTAACTAAAATTGTTTTAGTCAAAATCAGTTTTTTCCATAAGTTTTACAATAAAAATTGAATCACCATTCAATTTTTATTGATAATAAATTTTAACAATTATTGCTTTTGCCAATGAGAGTTGTCTTTTGTGACCATTATCTCTATCAGGCACTATTTTCACAGACCAAAATTTGCACATTTCAGCCTTACTGTTGACCAACCTTAACCTTTACCAGTGGCTTTTGTCCATCTTATTCTCTGAGGATTTTATAGACTAATAAAAATCATTATGAATTAGATATTTCTAAACTAATCTGTGAAAACAATAGGAGTGGTTCCCCCTTTGAACATTTAAACACCGCTCTATGCCCCAGGACAATATAGATTAAGCAGATTCTCCTCCCATAATTCTGATGGCATTCCACACTGTGTACCAAGGGACCATATTCTCAGTACAGCAAAGAGAAAAGAATGCTGTCAAAGTGATTCAGACAGAATGTCTTGTTTCCTTATGTAGATACCAAATAAAAGATGCAAAACATGAAGATGAATTCTTCATGAGAATCACAAAATCCATCTTACTCATTTCACTGAGCTAGAATTTTTTGATCACTTCCAGGGTACCAAGTGGGTAATCTAAACACTAGGGATACTGGGTGACAGAACAAAAACCCCAAAGCGATGAATTTCTTTCCCTCGTGCAGTTTACATTCTAATGGAGAAAGAATATATAATTTCGGATACTGGGGTGTCTTGTGTGAGATAATAGGATATATATATATATAGAGAGAGATAATAGGATGGAGAGACAGAGATAGCTTGGTATGGAATCTACCTTTGATAGGCTGGCCAGAGAAGCCCTCCTGGAGAAAATGACATTGAGCTGAAATTTGAAGGGTGAGAAGAAACCCATCTATGTAGACATGACTGAACAGAAATGAGAATAAGTGGAATCCCAAAACTAACTCTGATTACACATTTTGTAATTTAAAATTTTTTGAGCACACACCCATGATGAATGCATGTTCAACTATTCATAAATTGTTATTTATTGCTATAATAATGATACATCACAAACTACTACCCCAAAACTTAATCACTTAAAATGTCAAGCATTGATTTAGCTTATGAGTTTGCAAGCCAGCAGTTTAGGCTGGCTTCAAGCAGAAGGTTCTTCTCATTGGGCTGGTGCCAGTCACTCATAGGTCTGATGATCAGCTGGCTGACAGCTGGGATAAACGAGACTAGACCACATCTCCTTCATCCTCCGGCAGGCATGTACCCATGGCCGTGGCAATGGGCAAGAGATGGAATGCAGTTTCAATCATGTGAGCACTGTATAAGTTTCTGTTCATGTCATTCGCTCAACCCATTGGCCAAAGCAAGTCACAAGGCCAAATTCAGAGTCCCAAGAGCAGACCAGACTGGCCCACCCAGTGTAGGAAAGCACTGAAAAGTTTTATGGCAAAGAGCTTGGATGCAGGATGATATAAAGAATTAGGTCCACTGAACTGACATTTTTGGAAAGCAGACGTACATATGGCCAACATACACATGAAAAAATGCTCAACATTACTCATCAGGAAAATGCAAATCAAAGCTGCAATGAGATATCACCTCACACCTGTCAGAATTCCTAGAAAAGACAAGAAATAACAAGAGTTGGCAAGGATGTGGAGAAAAAGGAACCCTCATGCACTGTTGGCTGGAATGTAAACTGGTGCAGCCACTGTGGAAAACAGTATGGAGTGTCCTAAAAAGGAATTAAAAAAAAAATACTGTACAATCTAGGAAATCCACTTCTGGGTATTTACCCAAAGAACAGGAAAACAGTAATTTGAAAAGATATATGCACCTCTGTGTTCATTGCAGCATTATTTGCAATAGCCAAGATATGGAAGCAGCCCAAGTGTCCACTGATAGATGAATGGATACAGATGACGTATGTACACACACACACACACACACACACAATATTACTCAACCATAAAGAAAGAATGGGTTCTTGCCATTTGCAGCAACATGGATCGACCTAGAAGGCATTATGCTAAGTGAAATAAATCAGAGAAAGACAAATGCCACATGATTTCACTTATATGTGACAAACTAGAGGTTGCCAGAGGGCAAGGTGGTGGAGGGGATGGGTAAAGCAATATAGCATTATAACTTAGAATATGAATTCTATGGAGGTGAGTAAAGCAGGAAGGGAGAAGAGCAAATCTACACACTGATGATATACGACCAAGTTTGAGAGTCAGGTTTCCGTTTTTCCAAGTATGTAGACCAGCATGTATGTAGGTGGGGCCTAGGGGTGAAAGGGGGTGCGAGGTACAGGCTTCCAGTCATAGAATTTTAAATGACAAGGATGAAAGGTACAGCAAAGGGAATATAGTCAATGGTGTTGTAATTGGGTTGTATGGTAACAGACCGTAGCATAACATAATGTATAGACTTGTTGAATCACCATGTTGTTCACCTGAAATTAATTTAACATTGTGTGTCAGCTATATTTCCATTAAAAAATTAGGTAATACAGTCATTCTACTGTAGTAAGCTATTACTGCTCAAATATATGTACACATCAGAAAACACATTCACACTGATAATGTCTTCCAGACTCCAGTGCTGTATGCCTTGTATATTCACCTCACTGGAGACAGATTCTCTAAGCCATTCTTCATGTGCCGCTAGTACTTTTAGAAAACCCCAAAATCTGACTTGCTTTTCATCATCTTCCCTCTCTCTGTGCCAAGGATCTTACAACCTTCCTCTTGTAATTCAACTCAAGGTTTTAAGAGGAATACAGTAATTTTCATCACTGTGAATACTTCTGCAGCTGCAGAACAAATCCCTCGTGGACCTTCATGCCGGCAAATGCTCATGCATTAGGATGTAAGATAGCCCCGTCCTACTCATCTGTCAAATGGAGATTATTTGTAAGCACTAATGTAATAGGAAACATATGTAAAATGCTAGCCTGTAGTACATCCGCCATAAATAGAAGTTACCATATCTGTCTAGTTGATGGTCTTTATCACGTGGAAGCCATAACCTTTGCTTCCAGATTCATTTGGGGGAAAGTAAAACAGAAGCGATTCCTTCTCTACTGGAAAAAGAGAGACTATAAGACATATGAAGGGGTCTGTTCTGTTCTGTCCTGGGAGAGCCTCTGCGTGTC